AAAGAAATAAGAATGGACGTTCAGGCACTCGGAGAACGCACAGACTACTTAGAAACCAAGACAGAACAAATCATGACCACCCATAACAACGTGGCTGCCGCCTGTGAGAATAGGGAGTCAAAATTAAATTCCATACTACTTAAACTTACCAACCACGAAGACAGGGACAGGCTGAATAACATTCGCATCCATGGTATCCCGGCTAACTTGGGGACATTTACAATGACAATGTTTAAGTTGCTAATACTAGATATCCCGGAGTCAGCTCTCCTGCTAGACAGGATCCATCGGTTACTGAGACCAAAACACCTACCGCCCGGCTAACTTGGGGACATTTACAATGACAATGTTTAAGTTGCTAATACCAGATATCCCGGAGTCAGCTCTCCTGCTAGACAGGATCCATCGGTTACTGAGACCAAAACACCTACCGCCCACCCTGCCGAGAGACACCATTACCAGGTTACACTACTGCACAAAAAAAAGAGGCACTAATGCAAGCGGACAGAAAAAGGCAGACACTCCCAGGGCAATATAAAAATATCCAACTGTTCACAGACCTATCGGTTGCCACACTAGCAACAAGGAAAACATTTCTTCAGAACACAAAAGCTCTGCGCACGGCAGACATTCCTTACAAATGGGGATTCCCAGCAAGGATCATCATGAGGAGAAATGGCGTTGAGCATCACTTACTCACCCTAGAGGATGGAGAAAAGATGCTGGCAGACTGGGGGATCACAGTAGCTGCCACCTCCAATGAGTCACCACCCAAACGTCAGTCCTCTGCCTCTCCAATGAAGCTAACACACGACTGGAAAACCACTGCCACAGCTAAGTGACAGGTACATACTTGTTACACATAGGCCCCACTTACCTTCTATGATACTTAAGGTCCCCACAGACTCTATATGTGCCTTTCTTATATATGCTACTGTTTTAATTTCTGAAATAATTGCAGTTTAATTTTACCATTGCAAAGAGTGTTATTCCAGATGGTAATTATGAGCTCCCTGTAGGAGTGATGTTAATTTGCTATGCCTGTTTATGTGCTTCCAACAAAAGCTTGTTATATTCATAGTTAATAAGGGAAAAGTAACTTTGTTTTGCTTTTTAACTAAGGGGGGACTCTTCCCCCCCCCCCCCCCCCCAAGTGGGCTTCACTGCCTGCTAGGCGCTGTAATGACCGGGTCTCGCCATAGAGACCATAATACTGTAAATAGTTGGTTTTATGTTTTATGTTTGTACCTTACCTATGATTTCCCTAATGACCTAAGGACAGATTATCAGCGTAAGATTATCACCCACCACGTACATGACTATACGACAACATGGTGCATTATCTTGACCGAGACACAGCCCAGAACGTCTGAAAGTCCACAAACGGCACTCACACAGCCTCAGGCCTAGTTCGGCTGCTTGGCCGTATCTAAACCCACCGCCAACTGTAAAGGGACACAGTGACTCTCCTTTCACAAAACTCTCAGATGTCATTGCACTTAAGGTCCTTTTGCTTAACGTTAAGGGGCTGAATTCTCCCCATAAACGGAGATTGGCACCAACAGAAGCGCAACAACATAAAGCCCATGTGTTTTTTTTTATTAAGAGACTCACTTCCAAACAACGAACCACCCAAAGTTCTCCTCCAAACATTTCCCTCTGGCTTACCACAGCACATACAAGACAAAAAAAAGAGGAGTTATGATACTAGTTAGCAAAGACATCTCCTTCCAATTGATAAAAAAAAATAAGTAATAAAGAAGGGAGATACCTTATCCTCCAATGCACAATCAACAATAATCATTACACATTAGTCAATATATATGGAACTCATACCGACCAACACACCTTCCTTGACAAGATCCTAACACTAGCAAATGCTCACAAATTTGGAGACATTATAGTAGGAGGATATGCGAACTTCATCCTAGATTCCAACTTGGATACCACCTCTACCTCTAAAGTTAAGCAAGTCACCCTAACTACGCTCTATCAAACTTATGGAGAAAACACTCATTCAACACGGATACATTGATATATAGAGAATCCTTCACCCCTTAGACAGGGATTATACCCATCATTCCCTGGTCCATTCCTCCTACTCGAGGATAGATCGCTTCATTATCCCCATGACCCAAGCACCAAAGATCACTGCAACCCACATCGGTATTATATCGTGGTCTGATCATGCACCTATACTAATGCAAGTAGAGGCCCAATTGACCCATGGTAATCGTACATGGCATCTTAATGACTCCTTATTAGTCACTCAGATCACCAAGGACATGGAAGTATATTTCTCCACCAATAACACAGGAGAGGTGGGAATAGAGACTTTATCGCAGGCACATAAAGCGGTCCTTAGGGGCCAGCTTATCAAACACTCCAGCTACAATAACAAACGTAAGTTGGAATATACGAATAAGATCACTGAACTCACAGAGCTCACCCACATCAGCAAGACATCCTCATCACATACCATCATAAAGCAGATTCTACAACTTCGGGCTCGCCTGTGAGATATCGAATTGGCCAAAACTACATACCTTCTAATGAAGGTAAAACACAAATTCTTTAAAGACGGAAACAAAGCAGGCAAAATATTAGCATCCCAACTCAAAATTAGAACCCAATCCACAAAAATTGTCTATCTCTATGCGAAAGATGGCCACAAACTAAAAACCCACAAGATATAGTAGAAGAATTCAACAACTAATATAGCAAACTTTACAACCTAGACAAAGATGAATACACGCATACTCCCACACAAGCTGACATAGAAGCCTTTCTGAGAGACGTTGATCTTCCCATCCTCACAACCGAACAGAGCCAGACGCTAACACAACCATTCACAACCCAAGAAATCCTACAGACCATCGAACACCTACCGAAATGAAAATATCCTGGCCCTGACGGGTTCACTAATCTATATTATCATAAATTCAAAAACATATTAGCACCCCACATGACTACCCTCTTTAACCAGTGCTTTCAAACAGGTAACATGCCCCCTGAAATGCTTACTGCCCATATATCTACATTACTGAAACCCAGGAAACCTTCCATACACTGCCAAAACATCTGACCTATCTCTTTATTGAATTGTGACACCAAAATATATGCCAAACTCATTGCGAATCGATTAGCCAATATATTGCCACGCATAGTACATAACGATCAATCTGGCTTTATCAAGGGTAGACAGGGTTCCGATAATACTAGGAAAATACTAAACATACTCTCACACATGGAGAGGGAAAACACCAGGGGCTTACTCTTAGCCTTAGATGCAGAGAAGGCCTTTGACTGGCTCAGCTGGGACTACATATTTTCCGCCATACTAACCAAATATAAATTCCCACAGGAACTGATACAAGGGATGATGGCACTATATAGGAAACCCACAGCCCAGGTCTCTTACTTTGGCTTTCTCTCATCCCCCTTTAACCTTACCAATGGCACAAGGCCCTTTGTCTCCCCTCCTCTTTATCTTATCATTGGAGCCACTGGCCCACAAAATTAGACAAGACCCACTTATCGCAGGCATCCAAATCAATAACAGGAACTTTCACTTAGCCATGTTCGCGGATGACATTCTAATATCTTTGAGTAAACCCCAAATCTCCCTCCCGCGACTTTTGCCACTCTTGGATGACTATGGCCGAGTATCTTATTATCGCCTAAACAAATCAAAAACATAAGCGCTCCCGATTCATATGCCGACACAACACACACAAGAACTACGCCTCAAATACCAGTTTGACTGGAGACAAAAATGTATTACCTTTCTGGGAGTGAAACTAGCTTTGCATAAACAAACAATGATACCCCTTAATTATGCTACACTGGTACACATCTGCAATTCTAACTTCCAGAAATGGAAAGATGTTTGCCAGTCGTAGTTGGAAAGACTACACTCTATTAAAATTATGATACTGCCCAAACTATTATACATCTTTAGAATGCTACCCTTACAAGTACCAATGCAGATATTCAAAGCTATCCAGGCCACATTTAACAAATTCTTATGGGGTAAGGCGAAACCACGCCTCCCCTCTTCCTTATGTACCTAGCAACATCAGAGGGAGGCTTAGGACTTCCGAAATTGATCACATATTACAAAGCAGCCATTCTAGAATCGGCCATCAAACTCCATGCACCCAGACACACCATCCAATGGGTAGACATGGAACAGAACACGACCCATCCCAGACCATTAACAAACATACTATGGTCCCCTAAAGACTTTAGACCGCAATTGCACATGCTCTACCCCACCACTACTCTGACGTTACGAATCTGGACCAATGGAAAATACCCATTAATGATGATAAGAAATTCTACATACACGCTCCACTGAGAGCACTGGAAGAGAGCTCACCTTGGCTATCGCTGAAACCCTGGACATCCAGGGGAGTTATTCACATTCAAGACCTATGCTCAAACTCAGGGATGATACCCTTCCCAGACTTACAACAGCAATTCCAATTACCAAACTCGCTCATCTTCACATACCTGCAGCTAAAAAGTATTATTCACACTAAAGTATCTATGACCCAGAACCTCACGACCACACCCTGTAGCACAACAAAAGCGCTAATTAGAAGATGCCACACACGAAACAAAAGAAGAGTTAGCTTACTCATAGCAGATGCAGTGCCCAAAAGACAGAGATAAGGACATGGACACATAATAAACCCTACCAACACAAATATCTTAATAAACTCAAACATTTAGTGAGCATACCACCTGTGTTTTACTAACTATATAGAGCACAGGACTTCTATAATTACTTATCTGAAAGATACCCGACACTTAGTAATACTCAATAATAGTGGAACAAAGAAAAAAAGAGATACAATTTGTGGCGCTGAGATAAATGGCAGCTAGAACACACTAGTGGGTGCGATCACAATAAACCCACAGAAACACAGGTACACAGAAACAGAGATAGTGTGTAGCGCATGTATAAGACCCACAGATCTTAAAAAATACAATCATCCAGCGCACTCACCTATCCACTAAACAGCAACTTCAATGTTGAAAGATTTTATTAGCTTTTTTAAAAACACCTAATCTAGGCAAAAATAATGGGGGTTTAGTTACATTATATGATCATACATTGCATAAGCCTGCCACAACTAATAAAATCTTTCAACATTGAAGTTGCTGTTTAGTGGATAGGTGAGTGCGCTGGATCTTGTGTATTGTATTATTTGGCCCCCAGCAGCACCCCCATTTATGCATGTTCAGGTGAGTGCAGCCAACCCTCCTTGTTTCATATATATATATATATATATATATATATATATATTTGGGAGTCTAGCCAACTCCTTGGTTTTGCTTCCCTCCATGTCACAGGTGCCTCATCCCAGGGCCCTATTTAGCCTTGTACTGCAGAGAGCCTCAGATGGAATTTTTTTCCTCAAGTAAGTGGGTAAATCTCATAAGAGCAGACATTAGGCTGTTAGTGTAGGACCTGCCAAAGATGGGGTACATTGACGTTGTGGCAGGCTTATGCAATGTATGATCATGTAATGTAACTAAACCCCCATTATTTTTGCCTAGATTAGGTGTTTTTAAAAAAACAAATAAAATCTTTCAACGTTGAAGTTGCTGTTTAGTGGATAGGTGAGTGCGCTGGATCTTGTGTATTGTATTATTTGGCCCCCAGCAGCACCCCCATTTATGCATGTTCAGGTGAGTGCAGCCAACCCCCCTTGTTTCATATATATATATATATATATAGAGGATAAAGAGATGCACTCTCAGGACTTGAAAAAATAATTAATTTATTCCAGCAGGTATATAGTTTGCCGACGTTTCGACCCATTCGGGTCTTTCTCAAGGTCAATGTACCTGTGCTTACAAGCCATTTATATAGGACATAAAAAGAAGTACTCACCAATCTGTGAAGAACCCCCTGAATCCCTCCGTGCACACCCGGAAGTGAAACCGGAAATAGAACCCGCGATCACATGATCCATGCATAAGTGATCGTGTGGTGTTGCTAAGATACCGATGGGAAAACAATTAATGATAAGATCGGTATATATCTCATAGATGTGCAAGTGAAATGTCTAATATCAATCAAATGGTATGTATATAAAATCTAATTAAAGTGCAAAGTGCATAAATCCATAAAATGCAGCCTAATATAAGAAAGTGAGCAAAGATCATAAGATCAAATATACTGTGTAAAGTGTCACCATATATCTAAGGAAGTGATCCAAAATAAAAAATGTTATGTTAAAAACATTTCACCAACCATGTCAAGTTTAGAAGGCATTTAGCTGAAGCAGTCTATAGCATCAAAAAACTAGCAGGCTAAATAAAAAAGAAATAAAGCCATTAGAATAAAGGCTCCAAAAACCAATAAGGATCAAAAATATACTTAGAGAAAAAGGAGACCATACGATTATTCAAAAAACATTATTACTAAAGAAACATAGAGAGCACAATATTTTCGTTAAGTCCTCTTGGTGTCACTGTGTCCAGCCGATGGATCCATTGTGCCTCACGTTGAAGTAATTTCCTTGATCTGTCACCCTCTCTGGACATTGGGGGGACATGATCAATAGCCGTGAAACGTAACAAAGGAAGTCTATGTTGCATATGTAGGAAGTGTTTAGCGACTGGCTTATCACTATACTGATCTCTAAATGCTGTTGTTATGGTCGACCGATGTCCCCTTATGCGGTCTCTCAACGTCAAGTCGGTTTTACCAACGTCCGAAAGTCCGCAGGGACATGTGATCATGTATATCACATGGTCAGTAGTACACGTGATATAATGAGATATTTTAATTCACTGACCGCTGTGAGGATGAGCAAAGGTCGTACCACTGACCATGTGACTACATGTCACACATCCACTGCATTTATAGCAACCTTTCTTCAAAATACTCCTCGGTTTACGGTAACAAATTTCTGGGTCACTCTTAACCAGAAGGTCCTTTAAGTTTTTATTTCTTCTGTAACTGATAACAGGAGAACTCATGAATGTATGAGGTAGTGATTTATCTGAACGTAATATATCCCAATGTTTTTGGATAGATTGTCTTATTTTCGATGTTCCAGTATGAAAAGTCATGGGAAGATAAATTTTTGGCTCTTTTGGTACCTTCTTAATTTTATCATTCAATCTTTCTTGATTCCATATATTCAAAGCTTTAGTTTGTGCTATTTGGAGAGTTTGTGGACGATAACCTCGCATACGAAATCTATCCCACATCTCTTCCAATTGAACTCTTCGTTTTTCGGTTTCTGTATTATATCTTAATGTCCTTAAGAATTGGGAGACCGGGAGTGATTTCTTAAGTTGTTGTGGATGAAAACTGGAGGCAGATAAGAGAGTATTACGATCCGTATTTTTACGGTATAAAGTAAATTCCAATTTATTTTCTTTTTTATAGATGGTGACATCCAAAAATTGAATTGATTTTCCATCAATTTGATGGCTCAGTATAACAGGTGTAGAAGATTGATTTATCTCATGAATCATTTGTTCCAGATCTATCCTGGTACCTGTCCAAATCATGAACAGGTCATCTACAAACCGATAATAATGTTGAATATGTTGTCCAAATTTTTTCAAAATATGATCACATTCAAAAATGTACATGAAGGCATTAGCATATGATGGTGCCATTGCCGCCCCCATCGCAGTGCCGGATACTTGCACATAGAATTGGTTTTCAAATTTAAAATAGTTGCATGTAAGTGCAATCATTAGAAATTCCAACAAGAATTCAGTTGGCGGACCTTCATATATGGTAGATTTAATCAGGATCTCCCTCAAAGCCTGTACACCCTCCCTGTGGGGTATGATGGTGTACAGGCTCTGGACATCCATCGTAACTAATAAGGATGTCGACTCCACGTGTGGTGTTTGTAGGATTCTGGACATAAAGTCCCGTGTGTCTCGTAAGCATGTAGGCAAAGCCATAATGCTATCTTTAATAAAGGTATCAATATATTTGGCAATTGGTTCAATTATGCCATCCCTAGCCGAAACTATGGGTCTTCCTGGTGGTTGTAGTGGGTCTTTATGAATCTTGGGTAGCGTGTACAGTACCGGATGTCTGGGGTGTTCAACTGTGAGGTACTGAGCTATATGAGTATCCAAGTACTCCAATTGTAATCCCAATTCAACATGATTTTTTATTCTTTTTTGGAATTTAACCGTTGGATCAAACGTGAGCTTTGTATACACAGAGGTATCACTGAGTTGTCTCAGTATTTCTTTCCGGTATTGGTCGTATGATTGTATCACCATTGCTCCCCCTTTATCAGCCCCACGGATTACTATATTAGGGTCTTGACTGAGGTCCTTCAATGCTGCTTTTTCTCCCGGACTTAAATTCTGATGGGACAGAGGTGGATTTTTTACAATTTTTTCTATATCCATTTTAACCGTCTGGATAAATGCTTTAATGGATGAGTTAGCAGTCCGAATATCTCTTTTGTTTTTCGTTGGAAAAACATGAGTAGGTTTTTTTGTTAAATGTTTCTTGATCTCGTTACTATATAATATTCTTTGAATCTTATATAATTCAACCTCCGTCTGAAACAAATCAGGCTTTGCGACTGGAACAAAAGAGTCCTTTATTTAGGAGTGAATAGTGATCGGAGTTAAGTACTTTATTAGACAAATTAAAAACCGTTATTTCCTCATCCTGGGTGGTTTGCCCATGGGGTTTGTATTTTTTCCAATTTCTTTTCCCTCGTCGTATTGGTCGGCTCTTTTGGCGCCTCTGGTATTGACTCTTATTGTATCTGGAGGTTCGTTTTGTTGTATACCTCTGCCTAAAAAAGGATCTGGGGTCTGTCTTCTTAAATCTTCTCTGGAATCTGGGTCTGAGGTGGAATCGCCTGAACTGGCATCTATGGTGTTAAATAGAGGTTTACGTATTTTTGTCCTGGGTCTAAACCTTGATCCATAATTTTCTTGGGCACCCCCTAACCACCTATACACCTGGTGATATTTATAATCATTATTCACCTTCTCCAATTTTTGTTTCTTAAACCGAATCAAATCATGTTTGTATTTGTTAATTTCATCCTGAAGTTTGATCATCTGAGTAGTGGCTGTTGATGCTTGTAATGTTATAATATTTGTGGTTTCCAGGTTTTGGATTGTTTGCTTTACAAAAATTAACTCTTTGCCTACTTCCTCCACCACAATCACCATCCAGTCCAGAGAACATTTATTGGATATCTGCATCCACTTTTTGCAGAATTCCGGGTTTTGTCTACCAATTGTAGGTGCATTTTTAACCCTAAATCCTCTTGGTATCCTTTTTGCTCTGTGATAGTCTGAGATAAATACACCATGGAGGTCCAAATCCGTTTCTCGTTTCTTTAATTTCAACAAATCGTTATATAGATCTTGAACAGTATTAGTGTGTAAAAGATCCTTGGATGTTTGTGGCCATAAAATAGCATTAGCTTGGTCCTCAGATATAGAGAGAGTTTCAGCTGACTCTAAAAGTGCTCCAGCTCTAGCCAAAAAATCTTCCATGGTATGGGAGGAAAGTCTTGAGAAAGAGAGTAATTCACCATTAAGTGAATATTCCAAAGAGGGGGTGCTCAAGTTGATGCAACATACACCAAATATGTAAAACAATGTTTTTCTTGGCACTCACCCTTTCAAATGTGTAGCTCAATATCGCCTGGGTGCAATCCCATGTAGACAAAATATATAGAGGATAAAGAGATGCACTCTCAGGACTTGAAAAAATAATTAATTTATTCCAGCAGGTATAACATCAAAGTTTGCCGACGTTTCGACCCATTCGGGTCTTTCTCAAGGTCAATGTACCTGTGCTTACAAGCCATTTATATAGGACATAAAAAGAAGTACTCACCAATCTGTGAAGAACCCCCTGGATCCCTCCGTGCACACCCGGAAGTGAAACCGGAAATAGAACCCGCGATCACATGATCCATGCATAAGTGATCGTGTGGTGTTGCTAAGATACCGATGGGAAAACAATTAATGATAAGATCGGTATATATCTCATAGATGTGCAAGTGAAATGTCTAATATCAATCAAATGGTATGTATATAAAATCTAATTAAAGTGCAAAGTGCATAAATCCATAAAATGCAGCCTAATATAAGAAAGTGAGCAAAGATCATAAGATCAAATATACTGTGTAAAGTGTCACCATATATCTGTCAGGCTCCCGCGGAC